GTGAACCAGACATACTAAACTAAGTAACATGAAGGCCTTTCATCAAGACAATACAATAAAGGACAATACGCTAAAGAGAAATCCCACAACACCATGCACACTGCTTGTGGTCTACGTTCATGAACTTTAGAAAAACTTTTTAAAAATCTTTATTAATGTTGCTGTGTGGTACAGCCCATCCAAGAAGTTTCTCCTCCTTTTTTGAAGACGAAAATGTATTTTTTGTTTATCACTCTTAACAATGAGAAAACAAAAGTTGATGTGATTTGATTTGGATTTTGAATATTTACATTTGTTAGTCAAACTGTGAGTGTGGATTTCTGGCTTCTGAGCAGAGCAGTTTACACATATAACACCAAACATATTTATTTCATCCTTTGTGCTTGTTGTGTTTTTTGTAGCTGGCTGAAGTCTATGGGAACGTGTTCAGTTTCTGCTTCGGCAGCAATAAAATGGTAATGATCTCTGGATACAAGATGGTAAAAGAGGCTCTGGTGACGCAAGCTGACAACTTTGTGGATCGACCATACAGTGCCCTGGCTGACAGGTTTTACTCGGGACCCACAGGTTAAGAAATTATTCTCCATTTCCTCTCATTCAGTGCAGGAATTGTTTCCCAGTTATTAACTCCCAAATCTGCATGTTTGTATTTAGAGGGTCTGTTCAAGAGCAACGGTGGGAAATGGAAGGCACAGAGACGCTTTGCTTTGTCTGCATTACGAGACTTCGGCCTGGGGAAAAAACGCATGGAACAGTGTATCTGTGAGGAGATCCGATACCTGCAGGAGGAGATAGAGCAGGAGAAAGGTGCTTTACATTAAGTGGAACATAAGCATACAATCCTGCACAAGGGAGCAAAAAGTTACCTGTAACAATTGTCTCTTCTTCTTCTTCTTCTTCTTCTTCAGGTAAACTTTTCAGTGCAGCAGGTCTCTTCAACAATGCTGTGTCTAATATAGTTTGCCAGCTGGTAATGGGGAAAAGATATGATTACAGTGACCACAACTTCCAGCTCATGCTGAAGTATCTGTCTGAGAGTCTTCAGTTGGAGGGCTCCATATGGGGTCAGGTAAGTCAAACAATTTACTTCTTCCAGAGTATGACAAAAGCATGCAAAAGCATCCCCTCTGTAAATACTAGGCTGTTGCTGTAATGCTTTGAATAAAACTTTCTCTTATTATTTGTTATTAACAAGCTCTATGAATCATTCCCTGGAGTGATGAAGCGTTTGCCAGGTCCTCATAACAAAATGTTCAGCTATTTCGACATAGTCAAAGATTTCATCGCTCAGGAGATAAAGAGCCACAAGGAGGACCTGGATCACAACAATCCCCGAGACTACATCGATGCTTTCCTTATCAAGATGGAGAATGTATGTGGACACTGCATTGCACAAACTGAACTGTAAAACTGAACCATTTTCTAATATTAATTGACAAATGTGACTTTTCAATATCTCTGTGCAGCTCAATGAATCTGACCTGGGCTTCACTGAGACCAACCTGGTTTTGTGCTCTGCTGATCTTTTCCTGGCTGGAACAGAAACAACTGCCACTACTTTGCTGTGGGCTCTGGTTTTCTTGATCAGACATCCTGATGTCCAGGGTGGGTGGCTTATAAGCCCTTATATGGAGCTTTAAAATAGCCAAAAGACCAAATGTGAGATTATTTACTTTTGACAAATCCTAACATCAGCCAAAACAAGCCACTGTTCATTTTACAGGTGTTTAATACAAACAACCGGACAAGTTCAAATTGAGTGCAGAAATGTGTATTGCTCCCAGGAGTAACTGTTCACAATGAAAAACACAGTTCACCTTGTACTGTTAATGTCCTCTCCATGTGGTTTTAGTCTGCAGGCTCCAAGTAGCTCTGCAACATCTCCATAGGTTCAACTATCCATCTTCTAGCAACTTGTAGTGTGTACAGGATGTTGTTTAAAAGAGGCACCTACATCAGTATCAATAGGACCAAATTCTGATCTCATCTGATAAGTATGGGAAATGCAATGGCCCTGCATGCATTAGCAGCATTTGCACACAGCAGATCAACAACTATCTTCAGAAAAAATCATAAACACACTAAAATACTGGATTAGCCGTGACGTGAGTCATGCCGCAATGGATCAGATGATTGTAAATGTGAACAGTAACAACAATAACAGGAACTAGTATGGATGCAATCCAGCAGCTATCAATTCAATATGTGGACCAAAGAAACAGTTCTTCACACAAACATGCTGACGATTGCACCACTTTTTGTTCACCAACAGTGCATTTACTTCACCGTTCTTCTTGCCACTCAGATTGCACCCAAAATGTTCTGCAGGGGCTGTTGTACTGTCAACCAGGAAGGTGTGAGTTCATTAAGGAGAGAACTGGACTTGATTTATTGAGACAGAGAAATTAATCATTTTATATTTGGTGATTGAACTCAGATGACCCATCATGGCAGGCAGAACAGAATCCTGGTTTTGATAGGAGTTAGGACAGAGTCTACCTCAGAGTGACTCAGGTCAGGTGGAGGTGTGGAGTCTGAATGGGAGAATGACAGAAGAGTACAGAGCTTTAAAGCACACAGAGTGGATGATGATTGGCTCAATGAAGGCAGCGACAATATGATTGAACTTGAATAATGATGTCAGTATTGATTTGGACAATGTAAAAACTGGAAGTGATGTGAAGCATGTACTAGCAGGGAAAGTTAAATAGAGTTAAATGATTAAACAATTATCACTCCTTTTTAACCTATGCATGAGGTTCATTTAAGTTCAATAATCATAATCTCAGTATCCTCATGGTGCTTTATTTTCGAAAAAATAAAAAAGGACAAACAATAATAGAGAGAAAACCCCAATAATCAGATGACCCCTTATGAATAAGCACTGTTAACGGGAAGAACCAGAATTGGAGAGGGGCAGCCATCTATTGGGCAGAGGAGAGAGAGATGGGACAAAATACTTCTAACGCTAACAACTAATAACACATTTTGTTTTCTGTTCTCATGCTGACCTCCCATAAGGAGTCCAGCATGACTAGAGGTCTCTTTTTTCCCCTCCTCCACTTGCCCATTGTTTTTTCCATATTACTACCCGTCTCCGACCTGTCTTCCCACGTCATATCTTTGTGTTTGGTTGCTTAGCTCCAGCTCAGCAGCCCTGTTGTCTCCCCCTTTGTCTCTGAGGAACAGAATATGTTCCATTCATTATTATGAGTGTCCTCACCACCAACAGTTTGTCCCGTGTGTAAAGTGGCTCTCTAGTGGCAAAAGAAAACATCATGAGCAAGAAAAACAAAGGTGTACAAAATAACCACGATATTACAAATAAAGAATAACAACAAAGAGTAAGTTACTCAGACCAAAAAAGCACAGACTGAGACTCATAATTGTGCTATGGTAACAGACAGGTGTTGAAATATGGCTTCTTCTGAACTCCTTTAATTCTCTTTCACAGAGAAAGTCCAGGCAGAGATAGATAACGTGATTGGACAAACCCGCCAGCCTTCCATGGCTGACAGACCAAATCTGCCCTACACTGATGCCGTCATCCACGAGATTCAGAGGATGGGAAATATTATTCCTCTCAATGGACTCAGAGTTGCTGCCAAGGATACAACCCTGGATGGTTACCACATACCCAAGGTGCATGCAGTATACATTTTAAGCTTTGCATGTTTGTTCTGTCAGGTGTTGTTGTTAAAGTGCATCTTTTTGTTATCTTGTCTGTTTTTTTCTAGGGTACCAGTGTGTTGCCTGTACTCACCTCTGTGCTGTTTGACAAGACTGAGTGGGAGACTCCAGACACCTTCAACCCAGGACACTTCCTGGATGCTGATGGGAAGTTTGTGAAGAGAGAAGCATTCCTACCTTTCTCTGCAGGTAAAACCCACAATGAGTGTTTTGTTTTAGCACAACCTGAACAAGAAAAAAAACATCATCCACAGGTTGTAAACCTGCACGTGTATGTGTTTGCAAATTTGTCAGGGAACCGTGTGTGTCTTGGTGAAAGCCTCGCCAAGATGGAGCTGTTCCTGTTTTTTGTCGGCTTGCTGCAGCAGTTCACTTTCTCTGTTCCTGATGGAGTGGAGCTGAGTACAGAGGGAGTTTCTGGAATTGTACGTGTGCCTGAACCCTTCAAGGTTCACGCCAAGACTCGATAAATCTCACTGAGCCATTTAACCAACGACTAAGAGTCAAGACTGAGAAAAAGTATTTTAATGAAGGATGGATTTTTTTTTAAATTTTAATATCTTCATTTCATTGCTGTATCACTGCTGCCTGCAAAGATTACCTGATTTTCTTTACATGTGCATCCGAATCACTATATTGTGTTTTAATTCAAGGATATTCCATCATTAAATTGCAATAACGACAAATTGTAATGTACACTTTTAGTAATAAAATGTATTCATAACTAGTTGTTTGCCAATCTGTGTCGCACACCTGATTTAATTCACTGGTTACACAAGAAACCGTATATGCAAAGCCACAACTACATATTCAACTAGCTTCTTTTCCCATTTTAACATTTGATTTTTTCACAAGCCAGTGCTCCTCTAGTCTGCATGTCAAAGTATTGTTGTGTGTATGCATACACGTGAATGCTAGACAAAGTGCTCAGGTATATAATCAAAGTGCTTTGTGAATGAGGCTGGTAGTAGATAGCGCTTTAAATGCTCAGCTATACTTAATATGTAAGCACCAGTACATTTAACTATTTGTGTTACTATTCAAGTTTTTTTTCTCCCTTATATCAGTTTACTGAAAACCGTTCACGTATGTATGTAAAGATTTCACATCAACAATGTGAACATAAAACAAAAATGTTTGTGCTACTTTTTAGTAGAATCTGTAATAATTGAGGCCTGACCCAGTATCAGACAAACTTTCACACATACACACACACAGATCATTATATATACCCAAGCTGTGAGTCAGCAGTGTACCAGCCCATCTCTAAATAGGAAGGGATCCTGGAGCTGAGGTCCTGATCACTTAGTTTTACTCTGCTTCACAATGCAGCTGCGTGATTTGTTTCTTTGTCTTGATATAAAGGAGCAGCTGCTTATTATTTTTGCCGGCCTCCTTATGGTATATTTTCATTTTCGTAAGGATAAGGATCCACCGGGCTTTCCTCCAGGCCCTCCAGCGCTACCTATTTTAGGAAACATCTTCAACATTGATGCCAAACAGCCTCATATTTACCTAACCAAGGTAAGCTGATATCATTGTGGCATTTACACATGTCTTAAAAGTCCACTCGGGCAACCTCAGGACTTCCACTGACACTGACGCTCTTTAGTTGAACTTTTTATCTGAAGTAGAATCACTGCTTGCATAGTTTAAAGAGAACATTAATAATAAAGTTAACAAAATGTTCATGTTTCACTCTGGAAAAATAATAAAACAATACCAAATACCTTGCAGATACTAAGTTATAGTGCTAACAACAGGTTGTGCTATGCATCTTATCAGAATCACATGCTAGACAACAGGCCACTTATTGTCTGCTGCTGCATCCACAGCTTGCTGATTTTTATGGGAATGTGTTCTGCATACGTCTTGGAAGACACAAAACAGTGTTTGTGTCCGGGTGGAAGATGGTGAAGGAAGCTTTAGTAACACAAGCGGACAACTTTGTGGACCGGCCTTACAGCCCGATGGTGACCAGAATTTATTCAGGGAACTCAGGTGAATCACAAAAAAAAAAAAAATACACAAATGCAATACTTCAGCAACAAAGCAGTCAGGTCAACCTCTGAGCCACACCTCAGTAATTTTTGCTTTCTTTTCCTTTCAGTGGGTCTTTTCTTCAGTAATGGGAAGGTGTGGAGGAGACAGCGACGTTTTGCCATGACTACTTTACGCACCTTTGGTTTAGCTAAGGAGTCGACAGAGCAGAGTATTTGTGATGAAAGTCAACATCTGAAGGACGCGATGGAAAAGGAGAAAGGTCAAGAGACAGCAATGAGTGAAAGCAAAACACACACAGTGTACTGTGACTAAACGCATTTCCCATCTTCAGGTGAGCCATTCGACCCAGTGCCGTTCTTAAACAATGCTGTCTCCAACATCATCTGCAAGATAGTGTTTGGGAGACGATTTGACTACAGTGACCACAACTTCCAGATCATGCTGAGCAATCTGACTGAGATGGCCTATCTGGAAGGTTCCATATGGGCTCTAGTAAGACACAGTGGGATTTTTTTCTTCCTGAAAATATTGAAAGGTAACCCACCACTGAATAAATTTTTTCAATTTCCTCCCCTAACAGCTATATGATGCATTCCCAGGACTGATGAAACGCCTGCCGGGGCCTCACAATCGCATCTTTAGCAGCTCCAAATCTTTGGTGGCATCTATCAGGGAAGAGATCGAGAAACATAAGTTAGATCTGGACCCCAACAACCCGAGAGATTACATTGACAGCTTCCTCACAAAGGAGAAAGTATGCAGTTTACGTTCAACCAAAATAATAATAACAGTAATAAATAAAATCTGTTCATTAACTTGTATTTTTGATACCTTGCTTCGCTCGCTAGCACAACAGAAACAGTCATTTGGGCTTTGAGGAAGAAAACCTGGTTCTGTGCTGTCTGGACTTGTTCCTGGCTGGCAGTGAAACCACTTCAAAGACTTTGCAGTGGGGACTCATTTATCTCATCATGAACCCTCAGATCCAGTGTAAGTTCAGAACAAAACTAGTTTTTAATAATACCATCCAGGTCAGAGATCAAAATAATTATATGACACAGATACCTGCTAATTAACAAGTTAATATAATTTGACTCCTAGGTAAAGTCCAGGAAGAGATAGACAGAGTGATCGGACAGACCCGTCAGCCCACCATGGCAGACAAACCCAACCTGCCTTACACTGATGCTGTCATCCACGAGATCCAGAGGATGGGAAACATCGTTCCACTCAATGGACTCAGGATGGCCGCCAAGGACACAATCCTGGGTGGTTACTTCATACCCAAGGTGCATCTGGTCTGCTCACAGAACACAGCAGCTTAAGCCCCCTACATAAGATTAAAAATTGCTTAGTTCAAGTTCTTGCGTTGGTTTCATCCAGGTAAACCATCACGTTGGGGACCAAAAACAAGGTTTGCATTTGCCAAAAATAATTTCGCTTTTTACAAAAATACTTTTCTATTTCCAAAATAAACAATGACTGAGATTTCTATTTTTCCACTGGCCACACTGCAACTTAAAACTGAATGTTGCTTTCAAATGCATTGCAGATGCCAAAATGGGAAAACATTTTTTTCTGAAAGAGAGCAAGGTCGCTAATAATGATACATGTTAAATATATAGGCTATACCTTAACAAAACAGTATGTGTCGTTTCCCAGATTATAACCCCCTTAACAGTGTTAGCAATGAGCAAGTGTTTACTGTCAACAAGCCCTTGCATGAGATTTTAGGCAGGGTTCTTTGTCCTTTTTTCAAGATAAAATGGTCTTTTTTTTGTCTTATATTTGTTCTTACAAACATTGCCTAGCTGTATAAACCAGCACTTTGAATACCATCTTTGAATGTGACTGCTGTCGTCTATGTGCAGGGGACCTCTGTGATACCTAACCTGACTTCAGTGCTGTTTGATAAGAATAAATGGGAGACTCCAGACACCTTTAATCCTGAACATTTCCTAGATAGCGAGGGCAAGTTTGTGAGGAGGGGAGCATTTTTACCTTTCTCTGCAGGTAATTTTAACATATAAACTGTAATTATGATATTGGTTAGATGGGGTGATAACCAGAGTCACCTTCATTCCCAGGAAGGCGTGCGTGTCTCGGTGAGGGGCTGGCAAGGATGGAACTCTTCCTGTTTTTTGTCAGTTTGTTTCAGAAGTTTAATTTTTCCACTCTGGATGGAGTCAAGCTGAGTACAGAAGGAGTCACCGGAGCCACTCGCACACCCTACCCTTTTAAGGTGTACGCTAAGCCACGCTGAACCATGCCCAACAAATCAACAGAAAAAGCAAATATGAATATTGTTGTGTTGCTGTGAGATGGAGACTATGCCTTTTTCAATATTATTATTATTTATCGTATACTGAGTTTTGACTACAGACTGTACATAAAAGATAGACCTCACACTGCTTAACAAAGTGCATTGTAAAGCCTTAAGCTGGCATCTTCACTATTTTTGTGACTCGAATGTGATGTAATAAGCAAGAGGCAGCGCTAACTTTGAAACTGAAACTTTTCTTTAAAGGAGAATATGTCCAGCAGGGGGTAGCTCAAATCTGCTGCAACATTTTCTGATTGTTGCCATGGCTGTTTGGAAGTGCTTCCATGATGTGCTGAGCAGACGTCTAGTGCTATTAAGCATTGGAATACTCCCTAATGTGTGCACACACACACACACAGCTACATGCACGTGCCCGGTTGAACCACAGTATTATTTTGTAAGGCTATATAAGATGGCACGTGTGCAGACATTAGTCAACTATGCTGTTTGTTGCTATACCTTTTATGTTTTCCACAAAAGTGCCAATAACTGTTTCCAAATGTTTTTTAGTCAGTGCTGGATGTGTGGAAGCTACGAACAAACTGATATACTAGACTACAACTGCTGTTTTTTTAATTAGTTGTTTTGCTGTGGTGACTAATTCGATTTACATAAATAAAGGTTAGGATGAATTTGATATGCAGATTAGCTTTAAATGAGATAGGGATAGGCTCCAGCGCCCCCCGCGACCCTGAAAAGGATAAGCGGAAGCGAATGGATGGACCTTAAAGGCCGGTCCGTGAAAATATTGTCGGGCATAAACCAGTCCGTGGAGCAAAAAAGGTTGGGGACCACTGAGTACAGAGTAAAATGACTCAAACTACATGTACCGGAACACTCCCAGGTTTATGCAAAGGCTTGCTGAATTATACAATCTTGCCAAGAAATCTTCTATTTATCAAAGTGTAGCAAACAAAGAAGACTGTTGCAATTTCTTTGATATCAGCCCTTGGTTGGACTAGTGTTCAGTAAGACCTGAAATTCACAAACAACAGGCTTGAACAGTAAGTATTTGGGACCATTTTATCTGAGTGTATCTGAGCTACAGGTGAATGATCTAGCATCATCCACACACAACAGCAGGGTGAAAAATACAGTATGAAAATGCGAATTTGAATTATTCTGGAGCCTGAACTTTTGGCTCACAGCAATGATTTGCACACACCGACCACATCATCTGAAACCTTTGGTTTGAGTGGATAATGAGGATAGAGCTGTACACCCGAGTCATAAAAGAATACAATATACATGTTTAGAAAAACAAAATGCATTTATTCACAAGAAATCCAAAAGCATTAAAATTTGAACTGCTTACAACCCAGAAAGTTTATAATGCCTTTCCCCTACACTTTTTTTAATCCATTTACTCACAGTTCTCTGTGCTGTGCTACACTTGATACCACCTAGTTTTAGGAGTCACTGCTTTAACATCAGAAATCTATAATCTTCATTCACTCAAAAGAAAAATCAAAGCAATATTAGATACTCCTACACAAAATTATAATAGAATCTAATTATGTGTTGTGAAACTAGTGCAGTTTAACTAGAAGGTGTAACAACAGGCAGCCAGAAACCAACAACCTGAAAGACAAATTCTGTTCCTCTATAGTGCTGTTAACCTCTGCTGACACTAAAGAGCCTGAATATATGTTCACGATACAACCTGATTAGAGTAAGAAAAAAAAATTCAAGTTACAATTTGAAGGTATTATATAAATGTTCAACCTGATTCTGACATTTGGATCAAAGGCTGGTGTTAAAATCATGTTTACATTACAGTTGTACAAATTTAGAGACTACAGTCTTGGATAGTCACTGCTAAATATGATTCAAGAAGGCCCAGCAGTTTTTACTGTGATCACATCACTCCCTGGGAATATAGAAAAATATTCTTGATTTACTTTAAACGGTTTAGGATTTTCACAGCTTTACACGATGAGCTTTTTTCCATTTTAGTAAAAATCTTTAAGTGGCTGAAGCATAAAAGCAGTTGGTGGCCAGCACCAGACACAGAACTGATTTTCCAAAGTTTCTTTGTGTTTTTCATCAGATGCTGCTGTTTGATGACCGTGTCACCATCACTGCATACTTTGACTGTTCAACTTGGACGTATTTCAACAATCGTCTAAAGTTACAAGTTCTCGGCTTTAGTGTTCATTAATATCACATTCGTTAAAACGAGTGGGCTCAAACTCTATATTAAATATTGTTAAGCAGTCAGTTATGTTTCTCTTAGTCCTGACAGGAGATAAATGAGCTGATTATAACAAGTATTTAGCTGCACAGCAAAGCAAAGACAGGGTAGAAATGTGTTCTAGTCTACTCTAGAGTTGGTGAATTGTGCACTGCTTGAGTTAACAGTAAGTTAACTTTCTATCCAGGTTCAATGTACAGTAGGAGAGCATAAATATCATCAGGTGGGTGACCTATTGGATGAGCCGATGCTCGCTGATCCCAATCAGCATTTCATTGACCCCTCCCTGTCTTGAGAGCAGATGTGTTTAAGGTCACTTATGGGAGGGAGTGATGCTTATAGATTTTTCCTTAGCTGAATAAAGGGAGACATTTGGCTCTGTGACACAGTCTACTTGGAGGTAGTGGCAGGCACGCTGATTGAAAGTGCCCGGCGGGGGGCATTTGAGATTTGCCGTTGCTGTGTCAGAAAGGACTGACCGGGGGACAGCATGGAGGCAGTGCGGCCCCCGAGACGTGATTCGATGGCCAGCTTCTGAAAGTTCAGACTCTGAGTACAGAAAGAAGACACTGAGTGAAGAAGAGGCAGTAGGTAAATATGTAACTGACCATCTTGCAGGCAATGTACCATTTTACTTTACCTTGTTATACCACGCCGTGACAATCAGTTTTTCCTCATACTCTCTCAGCTTTGCCTGCTCACACTGACGCTATGAGACAAATAACCAAAAAATGTCAATCCGTTTAAATGAAAACATAAAATAAAATGAAATAAACAACCCTTCAACTTAAAACAAGCAGTAAGCAGTAATGTTTTCATATAGCAATCAAAAGCTTTTCCACATCACTTCTTTCACACCAGAAAGACCCCCACAGGATAAATGAACCAATTTCAGATCTTTGCCCTAAAAGTGAGGCAACGGGAGGTAATCTTATTTACTGGTTTCGGAAATGCAAGAAGGGAAAACATTACTGGAACTTTATAATGGAAAAGCTAGAGACTGCCATATTCAAAAACCTGGAAATTTATGGCTTACATAAATTTTCTCACACTGTTGTTGATATCTGTATATTCTGATACACCTGTTTCTTCTCTGCAAACTGACTCAGTTTAGGGAAAAATGTAGTAAACATATAACTTCAGTTTGAACAAGATTAAAATGCAGATTTACTTCCAAGCTGAGAATCTGCTTGTCTCGGTCTGCAACCTGGTTCCTCAGAGCCTGGATCTCAGCAGTAGCAGGATTCAGCTTAGGGTCCAATGCTCGGATAACCTACAGTAGGAACAAAGGAAATGAAATACTAACACAGACAATACTCAAAGTAACGAAACATGAATAATATTACCCACACTGCGAGCTTTCTCCAAATACATCTTGTATCTCTCCTCCATGGCTCTCATGTCATCATCCTTCTTCTTAAGAGCAGCCATCAGCTCATCCACCTTCAGAGCTTTCAAATAAAATAGCAACACTTATAACTAAGCCATCACTTTGTGTCTAGTGTTGATGATGACGCAAACGTGCAACTTACAGGTTTGAGTGTTGTCAGGCTGAAGGTCCTCCAGCAGCTCTTTCTTCTTCATGATTTCATCCTGGGCCTCGTTCAGTTGGACCCTGAAGGGGAAGGGGAAGAAAAATGCTGCTTCTTTACCTCCCTCTACTGGAAAACATAGAAATTCATTTTGCACCCCTCAGTTATTTGTCAAAGCTCAGACCAGCTGCACTTACATGTGTGCGTCAAGTTTCCGCTTCAGGTTTGACTGAAAATGAGAAAATAGAAGTACAAGATTAAATGTGGTAAAGGAATTTCATTCTGGATGGCAAAAATAAATAAAAGGATTTCCCCTGACACACTCACTCTAAAGTAAAAACTAACAATCAAGGCGTGATTGAAAGAACTGTGCTGGCACTTTAAGGTGTTTTCTGGAAAAGTTAATTTGGCCTTCATGTTCTTAAATTTAACCAGAGGTTTGCATCTTGCTGTAAACCAGCTATGTGATTGTATACAAATGGCTGTAATTACAGTGCATACATCTTTCTCTACCAATACCAGTCTACCTACCTTATATAAAGTGATTTTCTTTTGTAATTCCTTGCCAGTATCAAATATACCAGGCTAACATTAACTCTGCATTTTCTCTGTACTAACGCCAGCCCATTTGGGCAAACTTACATCATCAGGCTTGGATGCCTGGCTCTGCAAAGCCTTTTGAAGGTCCTCAACCTGCTGCTGCAGCTCACCGACCCGTTCTCGGCTCAATCTGAAGATTAACCAGAATGTAGAGGAATGAAAGGTTAACATCCAGATCAAATACATTTGATAAATGATGAAAATACATCAAACTAAATGTATGGAGAGAACAGCTTCCATCACATCTATCAGTGCTTGACAGAAACCTGTTTTCAGTGTCCAGTTCACTGCGAGTCTTGTGTGCTTCCTCCAGCTGGGCCTGCAGAGAAGCGATCTTCTCACGCTCATATTCTTCCTGCTGCACTCTCAACATCTTATTCTCATGCTGCAGCCGGATGAACTTATCTCTGAACAATTACACACACATAAGTCACACACATCAGTTTGGTGGGAAAAGTAGAAATCTTATTAAGTGCAGCAACAGCAGTAAGATACTACCTGTACTCAACGGGCATCAACTCAGCAGCCAGGTTATCATGACTGGGGCTGCTAGAGGGAAGCATGCCTATATGAAATAAGCATGCAAATTTCAGATTACCATAGCAACACCACAATAACTAATGTCAGGTATGACCTTTCCTATAGGATACCTGCTTGGGAGAGTTGGTGCTGCTGAGCTTGAGTGCATCGAAGCTCCTCATTGATTTCCTTCAGAGAATCTCGCTCAATGATGATCCTCTTGTGGTGGTGAAGACATTTTTTAACAATGTTAGGAGTTTTATCACAGCTAGAAGAAAATTATTACTTTATTATTGCTAACTAAAAAAAAATGCTGTTAAACCTCTTTTTCTTTCGTTGCAGTTTCATGCTTCTCCTCCAACTTCTTCATCTCAAACGCCAGGTTGTCTGCTCGCCTCGTCTCCTCAGACAACTTCCTGTGTAGCTCCTGGACCTAAATAAATGAAAATGTAATAATATAAACTCATCCACCACCAGACACATTATTGCTCATAAAATGCCAATAAATGTTATTATTACAAACAAATGATTATATTGTGAGATTTATAATTTGTGTGGATTTTGGATGAAATTTCGAGCTGTGCTTTTGCATGTCATTTACCTGTCTCTTGTATGTCTCGAGCTGTGCACGGGCAGCGTTGGCCTTGCGCAGCTCTTCCTCCAGACTGACTGTGTTTTGCATGTAAGTCATGTTGTTTTCCTCCAACAGTTTCATCTGCCTCTTTAAATCACCCAGATTCTCCAGCTTGCGCTTGTACGTTTCCACCGAAGCCTCCAGCATCACCACCCGATCTG